ATGTAAGTTTCCATAACAAGCTATTGAAATGCAAGCAAGCTTGCAAGTAATTACACATTTTCATAAAATCAATGATCTTTGAGGCCATGGGTATATTAGGAAGCATTTAAATTACTTTGAATTTTCTCTTTCCCTTGCTAAAGATGTGATACTTCTAGTTTTAACTTGTAAGCATGTAGTTACAATTGCAAATCCACCCACCAAAAAATGAATTCATAACCAGTTTTGAGGGAATTTTCAACTTAATTTTGTCCCTCTTTATTTGGCTTTCTCCTGCATAGCTTTTAAACAAAATAGAATATATTTTACTAAAAGGGGTTCACTTCAATTTGAAGATAGCTACTGATAAATTAGTAAAGTTTAATAATTCTTAAACAATTGTATATTCAATAATTAAAACAAATAATTAATTTGCAAAGTAAAATACACACATAAAAGAAAGGGAAAGAGAGGGAGTACCTTCATTAGGGTTAATAATCTGAGCAAGAGTTTTCAGTTACGAAGAAAAAGATGAAGCAAATGTGGGAAAACCCTAAAGAAAAAAGTAGAATTTTCACTTTGGAATTCATGTTTGTTTGTTTACATGAGAATGATTTCCAATTATATTGGCATTTATGTTAAAGCCAGTCAATTATTCATGAAAAGACTATAAACTATTCTTCTTCTAATTAATTATGATTTAAGTTGATTCTCTTGATATTAATTCCAAATTTCAAACTTCGAACATCAATGGTTAATACAGTTGCTTAATACATAGAAGAAGTAAAATGTACAATTCCTCCTGTCAATTGACAGAATTAGGGTTCAAAATTAGGTTATTTCAACGCCATTGAATGACATATCTACTCCAAAGAAACTACAACATGCCCATGGCTTGACAATGTGAAAACATTTTTGAATTTAGATACTTATATAAATACAAAGCCATTGAATGTCATATCTACTCCAAAGAAATTATTCTAGCATCCATGACTAGGTGACTACAAAAAATGATGGCTACTTCCATGATGACATGTATAAATTACACTACACAGCACATTCCAAAAGAAGCTACAATGGAAGAAAGGTAATCAAGAAATGATTGAAGGAGTTTACATGGTCCCTGCAACTGCTGTGCTGATGTGAGTTTTCTTATCATCAACCAGCTTTGCCTATCCAAAATCTGAAATCTTAGGAGAGGGTTATGTATCAGGTAAAATATTACTTGCTTTAACATCTCGATGTACGATCTTCGGCTTTGACTCCTCATGAAGATATGCTGGACCTCTTGCGGTTCCCAAGCATATCTTAAATCGGGTGGGCCAATCAAGATGTAACACCCTATTTCCTGCAGAAATGGGGCGCAATCATGAAGAACTTTTAAGAGTTATAGAAATGGAAAATTGAGGATTTAGGAATAATAATCTCCAAGAATGATTTGGAGCTCATTAAACATTGACAATTTGCTTTAGAAAAACCTGTTGCTTGCTCTAAGAGATTTAGCTAGCTATTTTTGTAGGTTTGTACCTTCTTTAGAGTTGTGATGTTGTTACAAAAGGCATATTACAAAGCAGAAAAATATTTCATTGTTTAAACTTTGGACTGGTTAAAATACTTGAAAGTCATCAAAATTGTATTTTGTACTGCCAGATTTATAGTTAATAAGTGACCATAGATCATACAAGAAAGATCACATGTATAATTTTTCAGTTGCTTGCAAGAAAACCAAGATAGAAAATTGTAAAACTAAGTTTGATTATGAAATAGCAGTTTCCTCATACCATATAATGCTTGATCAAGGCTTTTGTTTTCATGATATTCATAAACAAGAAGGCGCCTTGCTCCTTCAATGCAGCATCCATACAATTTCACAAGATTGCAATGTTGCACTGCAATTATGGCAGCAATCTCGTTAATAAACTGATTTTTCCCCTGGTGGGGTCCTTGTGAAAGTTGCTTCACAGCTATCACCCTTCCATCAAAAAGCGTATCCTATAGTGCCATATTTAACAACATAAATCATATCTACTCCTTGGTGAAAATACAAAAACTAAAACCAACCTAGTTTTCCTGTTATATTGCTATCTATGACCACACATTAGATATAATCCATAGAAACCCAAGATCCAGTAAACTATCTATAACTTCTAAATGTAAGACATAAAAGTTACCTTATAAACTAGTCCAAATCATCTCTCTCCTAGCTTATTTGAAACGTCGAAGTCTTTTGTTGCAATTTCAACTCGGCATATGTGAAAGTTTTTGGTTTAGGTCCTATTCCAAGTAGTACAACATATTGAAGCAAGACAAATGATTACATAACTTTGAAGGACTTGCAGTAGAAAAGATGAATTACAGCAGCAGCTTCGTCTATCTTATGGAATACACTACTGCTAGCCCATATTTTATCATTGTTGTAACAATGAGATATTATAGATCCATTATTTGTGTTTCAGGAGTGCTAGAACATAATTCAACACTTCTGTTACAACCATATTCTGGTATCCACTTTGCTCAGATGCCCAGGGCTTGAGCAGAAGTGAATAATGCAAATTAATTGATTTTTTCAGAGATTTTGTAACTGCTATTACTGTTAAATTCTATTGGGTTCTCTTACCTTCCGTATCATCTTTGTCTTTTCTCATCCTCAAGTAAAAAACTAAAAATATCAATATGATGCCCAAAATCACAAGAGGGTCTGTAATACCAACAATCAGCCCAGTTTAGTTCTTCTTTTTTTCAAGACCAACAGTTGGTGGGAATTCTAAGTAAAATTTAGTGAGAAGTATACCAGCAGATTAGCACATTTATAGTAATTCATCTAAAAAGAAGATTCAGAGAGATCACATAGTTTACCTAGAGTGACACTAACAGTTGAAATTAATGGTCCATAACTACCAGCAGTAGGTACACAGCAAGTCCCTTTACCAGCCCAAATTAGGTGAATCTCAAGATGGTTATCAGTCACATTAGCATCAAAGCTTCTACGAATTGCTCTTCTAACCCCACCTGCCTCCTTTGTTATGTCAAAATCCTTCAATTGGCGAGTTCCCTACATGATATCTGATGAAAGACATTATCATACTATTCAATGTAAAAATAAATAGATGGCATTGTAATAGTAGAATCGGTAAAGGACAAGGGTATGTTTCACAAGATCTCCAAATTACAATTTGACGATCGAATATTTACCTTAATATACACATCAAAAACACGTCTTCCAAGACTCCCATATTTTCTTAAGGTTCGATCTCAATAAATTATTTCAGCAAAGAACAAGCTTACATTGTAAACCCCATTCTCAAGACCAAGTCCATAATATCTGACTGACTTAGGGGATTGTCATGCTGTCTGATAAAGATCTGGTGTTGTAGTGTTAATCACTTTTGAGCCGGTATTTTGAAGAGATGTGTTAAATTGTCCCTCAGAAAACAAGCCCACATTACTAAGAGCTTATTTTTCAAAATTTAACACATTAAAAGAACCTCCACCATTGTCAGCTTCACAAAGTATATTGCCTACTCTCAACTGCTTACCACCACACTTAATTGCTAACCTTGAATCTGCAAACGCAAAGATAATATTAATCTGAATATAGCAAAGAATCGGATAAAATTTGAGAAGTACTTTTATTTTAATAACTTCCAGTAACTTAATACAAAGATCATCACTAAATCAAACTATAACAGATGTACACACATTTATCAGACATGGAGCTCGATGGAGAACTATTATTTTGAAAGTTTATGGCCAATGCATACATATAAAACAATAAAGTTAACAAAAGGAAGGAGAAACAAAGAATCATTAGTACAAATGTCTTTGAAATTCAGATCTAATGATGAAGATGAAGAGCAATAAATATATCATTAATATTTACGTACTAACTGATGAAGAAGAAGAGAGATTGATTAGTCGTACCTAATTTTCGGTTGATTTGATAATCTTTCCGTCTAGTATAATCCTCGGGATATGAGCAATCTTGGACCAATCTTCACCTGTTTCTTGTTCACATCTTTCACTCAGTTTAGGACAACCTTTAATTATAAGTTCTCTCAAAGCGATGAGATGATCCATATCCTTGGGTAAAGATGACAATTCTGGACAATTTACAACATGAAGAAATTGAAGTTTTTGAATCGACTCTGGTAGTGCCTTCAATTTGGAACAATTTAGAATCGCCAACCTTTCCAAAGTGTTAGTGGAACACTGAATAAGCCATTGCGGGAATTCCACCAATTGTGGTAATTCTCCTATATCAAGAAATCGAAGGTGAGGCCATGTGCTACTAAGTTCATCATGATTGTCTTGCTTATCCGATCCTATGCTCAAATCAAGATTAAGCCTTTTACAACTTACCAAACCAAGATCTTCCAATGAGCTTAGGTTTCTCACACCATGTGGTAATGAGATAAGTCTTGGACATTTAGAAATCACTAGAGTTTGAAGGACTCTTAGGTGACCAATATCTTCAAACAAATATTCTAAATTATTGCAATTGAAAATCCCCAAACCTCGAAGAGAATTCAAGCAACCAATACTATTGGTTGGTAGATGCTTTTGTCTCGTAGTTAGCTCGAGATATCTAAGACTAATTAAGTACTTTACATCTCTTGTTAACACTTTTAATTCCTTACAATTACCAAGTGATAGACATTGCAAATTTTGCAGCTTGTAAATGGAACTTGGGAGTTCTTTTATTTTAGGGTTGAATCTTAGATTAAGATATCTCAAATGCTTCAAATTACCAATTTTTTTAGGCACTCCTTCAATATTTGAAAATTGTATGTCTAACATCAGCAAGAATTTGCACCTTGAGACGATTAATTCCAAAAATGATTGGCTAACACCAACACTTTCACCAGTAATTGGATAAAAAGTAATGCTTCTCAGATGACCCAAGTTAGGTAAAATGTTTGGAACATCTATTATAGGTGCATCAAGTAAATGAAATGATAAGTGTCGATGACTTTTGGTACAAATTTGGTTAGTGGATTTCACTATTAAGCTCTCATTTCTCATCAATGATGTGGCAAGATCATGCATGAGATCATGAATTTTAAACCGTACATATTCTCATAAATTTGATCAATATCTTGGAAAAAAGATCTCAACATTAATTCTTTTATATATTGCATACCAATATATTCCAAATCTTGATTTTCATTGTGGTATTGAAGAAGCCCATGGACTATCCAAAATTTAACCAATTCAATACTATCAAAAGGATGGTCTTTTGGAAAAATAGAACAATAAAGAAAGCATTGTTTCAAGTGAGGTGACAGATGATTATAACTTATTCTTAGAGAATTTAAAGTGTCATTTTCTTTTTGATCCAACTTCCAAATCTCATTATCCCTCAAATTTTTCCAATCTTGTTCAGAAGTTGAGGAATAAAGTAGACTTCCTAACGCTCTTACTGCCAATGGAACACCTCCACATTTTTTCACAATTTCTATTCCAATTTCCATAAGATTTGGATGTTGCTTTTCTTGCCCTTCTTTAAATGCATATTTAACAAACACTAACAAGCAATCATCAAGAGAAAGACCTTCTAACTTGTATGTAGGTATAGTGCCCATAATTGAGGCAACACGATCACTACGTGTAGTTACGATAATTTTACTTTCACTAACACATTCTATCAATAAATTTTTTAATTCAACCCACTTCCCATAATCTTCATTCCAAACATCATCCAAAACTAATAAATATTTTTTATCGATTAAGATAGGATGTAGGATCTTTTGCAATTGGTCAATACTCTTGTCAACATATTTTTTGCCAATTGCAGATTCGATGATGTCAATTAATAGTTTTTTCAAAATAAACTCATCTGACACACATATCCACATTTTCAACGTAAAATATCTGTCTACCATTTTATCATTATATACCAATTTGGCAAGTGTGGTTTTTCCTAGACCTCCAATGCCAACAATAGGAATGATAGAAACAATTTCATGACTATCTCTAGGACATAATAATAGTTTCATAATCTTCTCTTTTTCTTTATCCCTACCAATGACATCTGAAGCATGCACAAATGAGTGAGTTTCCCTCTCCCAACCTATAACATGATTGCTATCAACTTTCTCAGTGAGATTAAAACTATCCTTATCAGTTGCTATTTTTGCTAACCTCTTTTTAATCTCCTTAATTTCATGCCCCAAAGTAAAGCGGAAAGCAACTGGATTTGAGGATGAAAAGAAGTGGCATACCTTTCTTGTAATGCCCTGACGATTCACAACTTGCTTGCGCAAATCTTCCACCTCAATCTCATCTAAAACATCTTCAGCATCATAACAGATCTCCTTAAGCTTTCCTAGCCAAACTTTCAGCTTCTCATTGTGGATCTGTTTGTCCTCAGCATCTAAGAGAACAGCTTTGATAGTGGTTAAGGTGTCAATAAGCTCTTGCACATCATTTTTGACACCCCATGCCAAGCCCATTTCACTGGAAGCAAGGGATGATAGCATACCCAAGACTTTCTCAGCAATAGCAGAGACGATAGTTTCTGCCATATTTTTGAAAGAAAGAAAGTTGCAAGCTGTTGTGTTTGTGAAGTGGTGAAATTGGATTGTTGTATGAAATAATCATAACAGAGCATGGCTATATATATAGAGTGAGATTCTTTGAGTAGCGTGGGGATTTCATGAAGTATGAAATATAGTGAAGATTAGTATATATTCTTTGTCTTGAATGAATGTAAGCTACATATCCTTTAATTTTCCCCTATGAAGAAGTATATACTAAGATTTCTTGCCTTGCTTGTAGTTCAAAGAAATATGCAACCTAGTGAAGACTAGTATATATTCTTTGCCTTTTTTTTTTTTTTTAAATATATAGTTTTGTATATTCTTTGTTCTAAATGTAAGTAAACTAAGGCTTTGAATTTTGAAACTAGTGTTGGAAGATAATTTATGTAAATATTCTTTGTTGATGCGTGGTTTTTACACCAACTAAACGCACGTGTGAAATGCTGTATGGGCCCAGAAGACACACGTGAATCGTAATGGATAAAAGATATAGTAAATGCAATGGGGACAGTTTTAAAGTGGTTCGGATGTTAAGATAGCAAGTCCTACGTCCACTGATGTTTATATAGAGGATAAAGGTCAGGTCGCTTTTAGTTGACTGACTTTACAATAATGTTACAAGGTATCAAATGCTGAGAATTCTAAGAAAGAGAAAGTAATTAATCGAGCGTAAAATGTGCCAATCCCCTTAACGAGAGATGAGTTCGCAATTCATAGTGAGATGCTATGAGGCAATGATCACTAAATCTGTAGGTTGGTGTGATTATCCGTGCAAATCCTTCTTTATGTCACATTGCCCACCTTCCAAAGTGATTTACGCAATTTAGAGCAGGGATTGGACACGTGGGAGCACCACAGCCTCTTGCCTAGCCTGACGCGCACCCACTATCCTGACGGACGCAGACAGTGGTTGTTCCAATGATCTGACTTTTGTGGGCTAAATGGTCTTAACGTCAGCCCTTGTATTTTTTAGGCATAACAGAAGTCCCCTAGTTTTTAAGGTTTGAGGATTGAACCTTGGAAACTACAGGTCATGCCACAGCAGGATGATTTCTGGAAACTTAGTTTATTTGAAAGTAGGTCGGGGTGGCATTTTTGTGAGCGCAACCTCACATGCTCAAGGACGAGCGACCTGATTTCGTCTGATGTCACCTGTTTGTTCTAGTGATAGGAAGGCATTTAATGAAGCAATCCCTGCACTAACAGGTGCGTCCCTTGCGTGGTAAATGCCAGCCAATCACATTTAATGCCTTGCACGCTGAAACAATGCGCTTTACCAGAACATTAAATGCATTATACGTTGGGATGGTGCACCTTATCAGAGCATTAAATGAAGGTTTGAGACGCAATTAATGCTCTGAGAGAAGGATGGCCCTCGTTTGAGCTTTTCAACTAGAAAGATGAAAGTTTGACTTTATCTAGTCGTTTCGTTCACCCTTCCTCACTGATAAGTGACATGTGGCCAAGATCAACGGTGAGAAGTCTTTGCCGCCCAAACGTAGTTTCGATTCTGGGAAATCCAAACGCCGATTCACGCGCTATAAAAACCTCAAATCGTTCTCAGGCAATGTCACCGAAGCCTTTTTCACGGAGAACAAAAGATTTTCACAGGCCAGGAATCTTTGTCTTCCAAACCTGCATTTTTCTGGCATTTGAAGCAGAAGCAGTCGTCATACTCCGAGAGGTAAGAGTTTCCCTGCCATTATTTCATTTCCTCCATGAGTTAATGGCGTCGGTCTTCCGGTAGCCCATAGGAGACTAGATGTATGTGCCCGGTTTGAGCCGTGAATGACGGCTCAAATCATGCTGCTATGGTTTTCGTTAGGATTTAGGGAGTTTATTTCTTTCCATGTCATCGTACGAAATAGTGTACGGAGGCCAAATAACCCTTCTGCTTGTCGCCTTTGCAGACTGGCAAAATGGACCCCTCAACCACCAGATCCGAGCAGGGAACCAACTCATCCCCGCAGGGTGCTCCTAGCATCCCTTTCGAGGTTTTCTCGGTACTCACCGGGGAAGAACTTGAGAGGTTAATAAGCCAATACGGCATTGAGGTGGACGTTTTTCACGACCTGACGCATTCGTCGTGATACCCATCAAGTGGCTTGGCTGCGATCTCCGAGGAGATACACCTTTCATCAGGTCGTGTTTGGACCACTTCGGGGTCGTACTGATGCAGCTGACCCCGAACGTGTACGTCATTGCTGTAGTAATGTACATCGCATGCCAGGAAAATGGGCTAGGTGAGCTGACTGCCTTGGAGCTCAGCTGCTCATATTTTCTGAATAAGAGCAAGGACAAGGATTCGTACTACTTGTCCAGGCAACCTACTATTGCCGACGGGATACACAGTTATCCCAGCAACACGGGGGCCTATGAAACGAAGTTTTTCTTCTTTTGTTACGATGGCCATTGCCGCTTCCAGGATCTGAGTAGGCTTCTTTTCTCTTTGTTTGTATTTCTGCTTTGTGTTGGCGAACTCATTGTGTTCGAAATGTGTTTGCGCTAACGACCTGTTTTTTTCTTTTTGACAGTTAACAAGACAATTGAAATAGGGCTGCTCCACGATAGGAGAAGAATTGTGTGCTTCGGCTCTCTACCTGAGGACAAGCGCGACGCGAGGAAACTTGTGATGACTGCGAATTTACGAAAATATGGTTTATTTAACGCAAGCGCATCGTTAGAGCCTCTACCGAGTAAGTTTTGCTAACTGATTCTTTCCCTGGTCGTGGAATAGAATGCCTTCACTAACCTTGACCTGCATGCAACGACCATGCCATCGAAGGAGCCAGAGCAGCCTCGATAAAGGCCTATCAATTTTCCACGGTCGAAGAAAGCTAAGGCAGCCGAAGCTGCTCGAAAAGTCCAACCTGTTCAGGGTGCGACCCCGAGCCAATAGGCGCGACCTACTAGAACTTCTCAACAACTGCCTACGGAAGACGCGCCAACGCAAACCACGAAGGTCTCCCAGCCGTCACCTGTTCGTCCGAGGATGAAAACAATGGCCCAGCGAAAGAAGAGGAAGCAGATTCAGGTCGAGGAGTCAGAGAACGAGTCTGAGGGTGAGCAGCTAAAGAAGTCGAAGAAGGACGTTGGAAAGAGGTCGGGCAAGGAACCGATAGTCGACGCGGCCGCTGTTGAAGGCGCGAAAAAGGATACCCCAGTATTGGACTCGCTGGGGAACCTGCCAGAGTACCTGCAACTGGTGGTTTATACCTTACTGGAATGTGGACTCTCAGAATCATTCGAGTAGTTAGCAAATTTCAATGACGTCGACCTGATATCCACATCGGTCTAGCATTTAAGCAAGGTGAGTAAGCTGTCCTCGGTGAGGACTATCCTTAGCTTCTTTGGATTGACTAACTTTGTCTTTCATTGTTCGCAGGCCCTTCTCTCCATGCGAAAGTCTCTGGAGAAGGCTCAACTGGGAGCCGTAAAGGGGGAGGTCGCATTGAAGGAAGAGAACACAACACTCATGCGAAGCTTGGAAGCCGTCAAAATGGAGAGAAACTTATCTTCTGAATCGGCGAATAGGTTCCAGAACGAAAGGGATGCGACTCTTCGCACAGTTGACTTCCAGAAGTCACAGCTCGAGAAGTAGGGGGAAAAGATGAAGGAGCTGCAAAAGACTATAGCCAGACTCTCTAGGCAGGTCGGGGAGAAGGACCAGGAACTGAAAGTGACCTCCCAGCAGGTCGCGCGAGCAGAGCAGGAGAGAGAGGCTTCTAAGAAGCTAAGGCAAGCTCTTGAAGCTGAACTTCAAGAAAGTCAAGGGAAAGTTGCTTCCTTGACAGAGGAGATGCAGAAGCAGGCTGTGGAGGTCGAGGAGAGGGCTGCCGAATGGGCGATCGAGTCTATCTACGCCCTGCGGCCGAGGAATCCGCAATTCAACCTGTCCTACCTCCCGGATGACTGGCGTGAATCACTTATGACAATGGCGCGGGAGGATGATGAAGTAGCAACCTCCCAAGCAGATGGTTCAGGACATGTTTCGGGCAAACCTTTAACTGACCAGCCTTAGGACGTGGAGGTTGCCTCTTTAGGAGTCAATTTGCCTACTGTACTCCTTATTAATAAAATTCATATTTTTACACAATTTTTATTCGTTTCATTATATATGAGTACTTTCTGATTGTTTACATTCATTGAGTCAAAGATAACATAACTCATTCGCACGAAAAGGATCATACACAGAGATTGTTATAAACGACCAAGATAAAATTTTACAAAGAAATGACTTACAAAAATCAGAAATTAATTTACAAGGAAAACTGAGTTCGGAATTACTGATAGTATGGTCGAAGGTGCTCAGCATTCCAGGCTCGGGGTACCTTAGAACCGTTTAGTCTTTTGAGATGATAAGTCCCTGGTCTGATTACTTTATCAATGCAGTACGAACCTTCCCAGTTCGGCCCTAAAACTCCCGCACTTGGTTCCCTGGTTCCGAGAAGAACTTCCTTTAACACCAAGTCACCAACCTGGAAGTCTCTTTGCCTGACCTTTGAGTCGAAGAACTTCTTCGTGTGTTGTTGATAGGTTGCTATCCTTAGCGAAGCCTTGCTGCGATGTTCTTCAATAAGGTCTAGGCTTGCCCTTATGAGTGCTTCGTTGTCGGTCTCATTGTACAAGTCTCTCCGAAGCGAACCAGTTCTATCTCAACGGGAATCATTGCTTTACACCCGTATGCCAGTGAAAAAGGGGTTTCTGAGGTGGTGGTTCTTGGAGTTGTTCTGTACGCCTATAGGACTTCGGGGAGGTCGTCGGCCAATTTCCCTTGGCTGCGCCAAGTTTGGCCTTCAGAGTGTGCTTGATGGTTTTGTTGACTGCTTCAACTTGGCCATTTGCTTGCGGTCTTGCAACAGAGGTAAATTTCTTATGGATACCCAGCTCGTCGCAAAACTGTTTGAACTCCTCGGTGTCGAATTGCTTTCCATTATCTGAAATGAGGGTGTGAGGAATTCCAAAGCGGCACACAATGTTTTTTA